TGGATCTGATCTTATCTTATGGCATTTCTGTACATAATGTTGATATTTCTGATTTTTGTGTATCTGACCATAAGCCTATTCTTTTTAATATCACAATGTCTGGTCCAGTTCAGAAATCATTTTCCTCACGGTCTGTTTCTCGTGTTGTCACTTCTGATACAGCCAGCCTTTTCTCTGAGGCCTTCTCGTCTCTGTCTGAAAGTGTGTTAAAACTTCCTGACTCAGATCTTGGAATAGAAGAGATGATAACGCTTTTTAATAATGCCTGCTCTTGTGTTTTAGATTCTGTTGCTCCTTTTAAAGTTTCAAAACCCAAACAAAGGTCAGAACCTTGGATATATAGTGATATACGAGTTCTCAGACAGGAATTTATTTTTCCTCAAGTATCTTGCCTTTGGTAACAACGATTCAAAACGGAAACATTTTGAATCGTTGCAATACGGTAGGATATTGCATTGATGCTTACATCAGAAAAAATTCATCTTTTGGTTTTATTTATTCATTTCATTTATATATATATAAATAAAATAAAAAAATTTTATATATAATTTTTACAAATTAGGGCTGCACGATTAATTGAATGCGATTGTCGTGCATTTTGTTAGTAATGTGAAAGATACGCATGACAATCACAGCTTCTGTCGAATCACCATCTCGATTCCATTTCGATTTATCATGCAGCCCTACTACAAAACCATTAAAACTTTAAAAAACAGAAACTAAACAAAATAAAACCTAATTCAAAATACTAATAAAAACTATAATGACACTAACCGGACACTGACCTTGACCTCTTCTGTGACCTGGAACTCCTCGTGGACCAGGTTGTCCACCTCCACCATGAGGACGCCGGGCAGAGGAAGCGCCTCCACCACAAACTGGGCCTCTCGCACAGTCTCCAACATCGGCGACGCCGAGTCCTTGCGCAATCGCTTCTGCTTCCGCCGCTCAGCTTTCGGCTGCTCGCCCTCCTCCTGCAGTGACACCGGCTCCTCCGGCTCCACGTCCAGCTGCTTATTAATGCGGATTCTGGGAAACCACGGACAAAAAAAGTCAGAAAACGTCCCTGAAACATGCATTCATCTCAATCAGTCCACAAAGCAGCAAAATATGTTGCACATTTTTGTTGCAAAACAAATACATAAAAAAATATCAAATTTCCCTCTAGAGGTTTACGATGGAACATGGAATTTAAATAAACTTAAATTTAAATAACATTTTAAATTTACATTTAAATTTAAATAAACTGAAAAATATAATTTAATAAATAAACAAACGTTTAATTTACATTCATATTTAATAGTGCTGTCAAATGATTAATCTCTCAAATTAAAAGTTGTTTACATAATGTGTGTGAACTCTGTAAATTTATATTTATATATATATATACACACACACACACACACATGCATGTATGTATATATATATATACACACACACACACACACACACATGCATGTATGTATATATATATATATATACACACATAATTACACACACATGCATGCATATTAAAAATAATTTATATATATATACTAGTATGGTTCAGTACTGTTTTTGTTAATAAAGCACTATTTTACTGTTTTTGTTCACATGAAATGGTAACACTTTAAAATAAGAGCCCATTTGTAACATTAAGATTAATGAAAGCTGTGTAATGAAAGTATTGTTCCTTGTTAGAGTGTGTTAATTTAAACATTTTTATTATTATTATTACTACTACTACTACTGCTAGTATGGTTCAGTACTGTTTTTTTAATAAAGCATTATTTTAGTTTTTGTTCAGTATCCATTTTAAAAACTATCGGTTAATTAATCGGTATCGGCCAGTTTGGTCCAACCTAGCTATCGTTATCAGCAAAATCCACTATCGGTCGACCTCTAGTTTCTTATCCATATGACTTACAAAAGATGTTAGACAGAATGATGTGTTGTAATCGGTATCGGCCAGTGTGGTCCAACCTAGCTATCGTTATCAGCTAAATCCACTATCGGTCGACCTCTAGTTTCTTATCCATATGACTTACAAAAGATGTTAGACAGAATGATGTGTTTTTTTCATATAGCTAATTAAATGGTGAATGAGAGCGTTTCTCCGTCTGTCATCTGGTTTTGTGTGCCAAATATATTTATTTGTATGTAATAATTATAATTTCATAATATGATTTTCAAAAGCTGAAGTGATTGCCTTTATTTATTTGCTAGAATATGTATAACTCAATATTTGAACTAATTGCAAAAGCTGAATTATCAATCGAAGTCTACCGATTAATCAGTGAAATAATCGACGATTAATCGTTGGAATAATCGTTAGATTAATCTGTCGATCGCAGCCCTAATACTCAACAAATATGAAAACTTTTAAAAAGATTTTATATATTTTGTCTACAGGTTCAATAAACTGTTACATTTCCAAAAATAAATAAATAATTTTTAAAAATATATATAATGTACATTTTTTAAAATAATTTTTCTGACCATTACTTTATGCAATATTTATATATGCAAATATTTTATTAACAAATGTGGAATAACAGTTCTTTAAACAACAATCATTTTTATTATTTTTCAAAATAAATTTTTAAGTAATTTTTTTGATTTTTTTTTTTAAGTAATTTTTTTTTTTTAAATTTTTAATCAATCAATGAATCGATTATCAAGATAACTTTCAGTGTCATAAAATCTGAAAATATTGTAAGAAAACTTTTTACATAAATTTTTCTCCCGTATATGACATAATACTACTTGATATCAAATATCCAAGTACTAAATATTTAACCACAGGTTAAATCAGACGCAAACTAGTCTGTACAGAACTTTCTACATGCTCCACTCGGTCTGTGGATGAAGAAATCCAATAACAAAGTAAACGCTGTAGTAAAACCGCAGCAAAACATAAACTTTCGTGTATTTAAACGCAAACTACACCGACATAATTTAAAGGGGTCATATGATGCGATTTCAAGTTGTTCTTTCTCTTTGGAGTGTTACAAGCTGTTCGTGAATAGATCAGATCCCTGAAGTTGCAAAGACTAAAGTCTCAAAACCAAAGAGATATTCTTTATAAAAGTTAAGACTCTGCCACGCCCCCCTAAAACTGCTCATTCTAACACGCCCCCACATATCTACCTCACTATGTGGAAATATTAGCATAATGCACCCAAATGTTCATCAAAGAAAGAAGGCGTGGTTTCAGTAACCGCAGTTAGTGTTGAAGCAGCATGTCAGGGAGATGCTGTGTGTTTCTAGGCGAAAGCAAAAGCACTTTATTTGGTCTTCCGAAAGTAGATGCATTTAGGAATCTTTAAGATGACTTACAACAGAACAGCAATGCATTTTATGGGCGACCGTTTCGTGAACCTAGGAGAGGAGGTCATTCTGACTTTCAATTCATTCATTCAATTTGATAATAATTGAATAATTGTTCATTTATGATACACCTCGTTAGCAGCTTGTACCTGTGATTGTTGATTAGTTAGTACACTGTAAGAACAATATCTAGAAAAATGGAAAAGGTACTAATAATTTTTCCAGAACATTATCCATTGTAACCCGAAACACAAAATACAATGCGTAATTTAAAATGCAGGTAAAAACCTGTGATTTATTTTCTCAGAGTGTAGCACACTGACTACTAATACACTGCTTAAAACTATAATTGTTCAGAATGTGTGGTTTTACTAGCTAATAAAAAAAAACGTGTAATCGTTCAAAAGTGTTCAATGTCGTATATAAAAATAGTTATTTATATTTTAACATTATATTATGCATTTACATTATTTTACGAACAAATCTAAATTAACACAAAACATTTTTCTGCTGAGATTTGATGCAGTGACGCAATTTTGCGTCGTGATTGCGTAATGACGTCATCGCGCGGTGACATCACCACGTCATTTAGCAACAAATCGACCTTCCTTTAGCGACTTCCCCTGAAGACTAGTTGACAACACTGGTTTCTGAACGAGCCGCTCGTTTTAACAGCTCCCCAGTCTGCTGACATTAGTTAAGACACTTGCCTTAAACATTACAATGCTCACGATAACGTTTGGTATCTTTAAGCTAAGCGTAGAGCGCGTTGCCATGGAAACCTACAGCGCAAACGGAGGCTCAAAGACAACATTGTAAAGATGGCGGCGCGCTCGTTTCTCTGGAGAGCAAGGTCCGTCACGAGCCTCGATGATTTTGATGAATCTCGGGAACACCGGGTTTCTGTTGACCGCGGGAAGAGCGCGTCTAAGCCGGCTCTGGTCACGGCTGAGGAGGCGCTTCTGGACGCTGGACTGTACGAGCTCCACACTCGCATGTACGCCGCCATCTTTGATCTGGAGGATTCTATGCGAGGAGCACGTGACCGCGCCGCTGTCCGGTTCTGATGACGGCATGAGGCGACGCCACGCCCCCTATTTGCATATTATAATGAGCATCAGGGCAGCGAGCGTAACATGCTTCCGTGGTTCATATACAATACAATAAAAAGCACTAGACTATAATAAACACAAAACAGAAATCTGAAAGCATGTCAGTTAATAAGATGGTTCCTGCACGGGAGACCGAGTTAAACCATGATTTCTAATCAAAAATAAATCTTAAAATGCTTCTTTATTGTAAATAAAACTTTTAAAAATTAGGCTATAGAACTATATCCTCAGTGTCTGTTTCAGAAAAGCTGTAAACGTACTTATGCACTAAATATAAATGCACTATTTCATCATTTATAAATCAGATTTTTACCTATTTTACTTTTACTTAATTCATTTACTTATTCTATTGACCAAATTTCACATTCATAAGTGTACATTTACCAATAAAACCCCAAATTTGATGGTTTTGTTGACTGGAATATTTCTATATAGTGACAGTATCAGAGACTCTGCGAATAAGAAAGCTGTAAGAACTTTGAAAGTTCGTGAACTTTACAATATATTTATTTGATTTTATATATACGTACAAG